TACCGAATAGAGCCTTTGCATGGCCGTTCTAGCCAGAGATTGTTGAATTAACATTCACAGTTTGAAATGGTTCGAATTGACCGGCATGATTGACATAGGGAGGACCCATTCCAGTGAAAACGAAGGTAAAGGAACGGGAATCGAATCTAGTTGGGAGGACACGTTGGAACTTCTTGAGGGTGCAGGACTGAATGCGCAAATCTGCCAGCAAAAATTGACCTCGGCCACAATGGCTCACTCTGGGCGAAGTTTGTGGCGTAGGTTTACAAACGGACCCGATATAGTCTAGCGTTTCAAAACGCTTCCTTATCCACAACGGCTCAGGGGGTAAGGGAGGCTTAGAGAGGCAAAATAAATAAAACAGTATTTAGTGATTAAAATCGCCTTGACAGGAAACGATCATTGATTATAATCAAATATCTTACACATCCGCGATATGATCGAATTAGAGGATAAAAAGCCATGAAACCAAACCATACAGAGGCCAATTTCACCTTGCATTTACAGGACGAAATTCTTGAGGTATTCACGAATATTGAATATAGGAACGGGAAGCATGCGATGGACGGTTGGGCGAGATCAAGGCGAAAAATGTTGGCACGGTCAAACTCCTTAGAGAGTGGAGATTTTGGCACTCACTTCGTTGGGGGGAAAGGGGACGGTTATGTGAGTGAGCACAACAGTTTAGACTAAGCCTCAGAGGAAGAAACTCGGAAAGGATGAGAACAGAATGTATTCAAGCGTTTCTTCTAATCATCTAGGACCTTACCATGGTCTAGCATGTACCTCATGAGCGGCAACCATGTTTGAATGCCTCTTCTAGAGGACATGAGCGAGAGTATTTCTCCACAAAAGATTGTTGGAAGGCAATGCCACAAGGATCGCCCAGGGGCTCGTGGTCTTAGACAAACGATGGTGAATGTGATCAGTGCCAAGATGAGCCAGAGCAGTGAGAAAAGGAAGAATCCAGTCGAAAACGATCAGAGTTGACGGGACTCACGCAACACTTCTAATGGACTTGTGCTAAAGGACGACAGTGAGGACTTAAGCGCGACGAGGAAGAGTTAATGTGGGGTCGAGAAGATGCGCATCAAGAACATTGAGAGCAGCACAGAAACGGAGACTGGATCAGAGAGCTCGTTCGCTGCAGCTCGAGCAGCTTACTTTGCAAGCCCCAAGCGTTCTTGTCGGTCGAATTCCGTGCACGTGAACGCCACATTTGTGATTGTCCCCTAGGGTTCTATACTTCTGACCGAAGAGAAGCGTTCACACGACCTCTGCCTGGGTTGTGCCTTCTAGGCATATGTTCGAAATCAACTAAAAGTTGCGAGTAGAGACGTACGACTTGACATGCAACCTTGATGGAAGCATAATGGTTGGAGATATAGTGGATAGTGCTCCAACATGACAAGACGCTGAGAATATCAGCAAAGAATGCTGAGAACAGCTACATTACAGCCAAATTCTATTTCAAGTGACGACATTATCCCGTGCACACGACGTACCCAAAAATTTACGGGATATCGACATGTAGTTTCAAGAGTCTCGGGAGGGAAAATTATACATTGGCTTAGACGGTCTGTGAAAATCTCGCAAACCCAAAATTTTTATAGGAAAATCTTATGTTTTCCAACGACTGTTTAAACATATAAGACAAGAGTATCGGGCTCAGACCCACTCAATAGAAGCTTTAACGACGGCTAGAAGCGCTAAAGTTGACGAGACAATGTGTGAGCTCGCGTCGCTTTCTGTTCGAAAGCGTCTAATTTAGACGAATGGAGCTAAGAACTCATTTGACACGCAATAACACTGTTGACGAACGCTCGCCCACCGCTTCCATATTTTTGTCTGCATCAGCTACTTGAATTGCTTATGCTTCTACTCAAACTGACTTCTTGGCGCTCTCCGCGTTCAATTATCTACTCTATCTTCACCTAGCCGGCATGTTGAAATTTACTTCGCAAGATGTAGGAGACAAAGAGCTCGTGAGTGTCAATTGCATATTTCAAGATATTTATTTATCTTTTTTTCCAAATGGCGGTCACAGTGGACGAATACAATTCCCTACTTATCAATATTGAGCTGGGATTCATCATAATTATATCCTGATCTTTGCTTAAGAAAAACAGGACTTTCTGAAATTAGGGCAATAGATTGGTAAGAACTGAAGGCGTTGTTATTGAAATTCAACCGACAAAGACACGATACTTCTTCAAGGAGATTCACGACATATGCAGAGATAAGGCGAGAATCGCCTCAGTGAGCGAGAGCAAACAAATCGACACATGATAGGGAATATCGATAGAAGTCGCAGTCAGGCCGCAGACGAAGGAACGTCAGTGTGTGAGTCGTACCGCATAATGTACAAAGTGTAGATACACAATGTGCATTCTAATATTTAATCGTTGTGAATCGTTATTACGAGTCCGCACTGCGCACGTTTGATGACGCTGCCATTTTACCGCGCGACGGGCCTCCTGTCAGGTACCCGACACTGTGTAATCTTACTCGCCTGAGCGACTGATCGCCCAACTGCCTTAACCGCCTAATTGCATGTCGAACTGTGAATGTTGCCTTAGGTAGGGAAGAGGTGGTGTGTACAAGTGAATTCAATTCTCTAGTTATCTGAGGGATTAATTCCCGGTGCAGATCAATCCCGGCTGGAGTGCGCCATGCATTACGCTTCTATCCGGGACATGAATAGGTATTTGGCCTATCCAATTCTTCGACAGGCCGCGGATACAAGTCAATGCCTTGTAATTTATACATAACAATTTGGTACCATGTATATGAATGTGAGCTGAGGTAAGGTCTGTTACTATAGAGGTTTCTGGGGCTGAGTTCGATCTTGAGACCGTGCGTGTACAGCATGCCACTGACAACACTTTTTGTTTTGTTTTTTTTTCTTCCCTTTTTGGATGGTAATACGTCCTTATTTAGTTTCTGTCCTATGACTTATACAACTCACCTTATTTAAGAAAGTAACGAACCTTGTCTTTTGGAAGTTTTCAAAGCGCTAGTACCGTGAGACCTCTAAGGCTAACCACCTGACATCATGACGAGTAGTGAAATGAACAACAGTGTTCTCGAAGAAAATCATTACACAAAATCAGGAAAGTGATAAGGAATCTACCTTCTATTCCATCAGTTACCGATCTGAAGCAACCTATACGAAGTTATTACGAATCATTGGAAACCCACGTTATTTTTAGAGTGTTTAAAGGAGGAATTCACGATTAGAATGAAGGTCGAAGAAAGGGAAACTGACCTAGTTGAGGGACCCACGGACCTCCTGAGGGTGCGAACTGACGCGCAATTCGCATGGAAAAATTTGACCTCGGCGACCTATCATGCCTCAAAGCTGGCGGGTCCGGCGATCTCCGCCCACCGATCATCTGATCACTCGCCGTAGTTCATACGTGGCGAGTGATTAGATAGCTGAGAGAGCGTAGTGTTGAAGAGGGCACAGCGATGAGAGTCGCATCAATGCTCGAATCAACGGGCAAGGAAGGGGTCCCATTTCTCGGGTTCTGGGCCGTTTCTCATGGTTCTTCCTTCTTTCGTGTACCACTCACCATCCCTAGGTTAATTTGAAATGGGTTGCTTTTTCATCGTGAATTCGTCCTTTAAGGCAAGCTCTGGAATAAAGCTGGTGTGTAAGAGCGCTTCGTCGTAATAAGTGAGCCGCAGAATGAACTGAAAATGGAAAGGAAAGCAAGAGAAACATCAGGAACGCTGAAATTAAGGCCTTAACCTTCAATAAGGTCGGATGTGGTACGATGGCGAGACAGGGCGATCAAAGAAGACAAAACGCGAGAGAGCACGTCGTTTGAGAGAGCACGCTGATCTCACCATCATCTGGGTGGGAAGCGTTGCAACGGGGTCGATGGTTGCAGGCCTGTAAGGAGATCGTGTAATTTGTGCGACGAAGGTGGCATCTATTCAAGTACGGACTCCTCATTCCCCCTCGCGGTATTCTTCCTACTAATCGGGCTAAAGAAGATTGTAAGTTCAGGAACATAGGCTGTATACCGTAACCCTCTCGACGTTGGGGTGTTGGCAGGGGCGCGCAATGTCACGTGTCATCGATTTTCCATGTGTGCTCGCCTCCCACTTCTCGTTTTCTCTGCGCTCTCTCAACGAGGAGAGAATGCGTCGAGCAAACTCGCCAACTATACTAAGCGCCGTTTATGTAGAAGGTGGAGGATGGCACGCATGCTGGTTTCGCCTCCCGTTGGATGGGGCGGCACCCGGGGATGCCGCGCAAGCGGCGGGGCGGGCGCTGCGACGCCGCTCCATTTTTGGATGGCAAGGACCTTTCATTCTTATACAGCGCTGAAACGTTGTGTTTCTAGCTCCTGAAACAGGAGGGCACTATCCGAAGCTTGGGACCATTTTTACTAGACGTGACACCTGGCTCCTTCAGTTTAAGGGGCTGTCTTCCGGAATAACGTATTTTTTCTTTCGTATCGTGAAGGTGAGTCTCAAGCTACCGATTCACAAGGAGATGGAACCACGTGATTCCCGTGCACAGCTCACCTTGTGAACCATAGGAATGCAGAACAGCACGATTGAGGAGACGTCAAATGTGACACCGCTAAGCTCGTATTGTTCAAGAATCGAATAACTGATCACTTCAGATAATCTTGGTTCCTACGAAGTTTACTTCATTCTCTCCTGATGGGTTACATAGCACTCTTCATTTTCTTTTAGTCAACCCTTCTTCTTCTCCCTAACGTTAGTCCCGCGCAGTCGCAGGGTCTGCTGCTTTTGTTGGGCTTCGCCACTTTGCTCTGTCCAGGGCATCTCCTACCCAGGCCGTTAATTCAAACTACCCAAATGGTGCAATCGTGGGGTGTGCCTTTAGTCCCTTACTCGATTGAAGGCCCACATTGTGTGTGCACCGTGTCCAGGCAAAAAACGGCAATTTTGTAATTTTTATTCGATTTTGTTTTCTACTGAATACCAGCACTCCACGACCTTTCGCTCTGACGTCCACTTCAGCATTTTTCTTTGTCGACAGCCGAGACAATGTCCAAGGTTACGTACGTCATATCGTAGACGCCATTAATCTTCGACTTTGGAATCTCGTACTCGGAGATACGCTTGCAACCCTGAATTGAACAAGAGAAAGTTTTTAGAAGACGAATGATTCAAAGGCAAAAAGCGATCGGCTTATTACAGCACAGACAAAGCAGTAGCGTTGATGACACCGTGGCACGTAATGGTGTAATGCCGTGGCTGTGAGTCACCTAGTAGCAAACGTACCGGTTTCTTCACATTGCAGGTGTGAGTAATTCTGAGGAAAGGCTCAATGGAGCCGACTTCGTCCTCTTCTCCTTTGACAAGGAATTCACCGTCTTTCGCCGTTTTCACCGTGTGCAACAGATCATTGGGGTCGACTGTAAGATTATTCGAGTATTAAGTTTGATTGAACAAGCGCCGAGAAAAAAATGTAAAAAATCTGGAAAAATGGAAGTTGTAATAATTGGTAGAGAAAATGAGTAGAAAAGATTGTCAAGGTAATCATGTCCATAGTGATCTGTTAAGCAATCGGGACAGACCATTACATTAAAGTAAGATATTACGGTCAGTAAATGGGATATTGAACAAGGGGTGGGACGGACACTGCAGAAGGACGGTGGGCACTCATGGAAGTGGGATAGAGACATATCGCCGTGCCGCTTACCCCAAGGTGGTAGGTCATGCGCGTCCACGGTCAGGCCAGACCCTTGCCCGTGGCTTGGCGGCTTTATATTGAAAGGACACATGTTGGACGATCGTATCCTTAGGTTTTCCTAAGTTATGCCTTATCAAAGAAAAGGATGATATCGGGAATAAGCAGGTGCACACGCCTTGTGTTGGTCACTGGAGCGTAAGTGAACGAAGTCAAATAAGGTTCCCTTCCGCGAGCTTCGAACCACCCTCTTGATCAGTGCGCTCTATACAAGAGCATATAGCACTCAGCTAATTAAGGGCACCACCTTTTGCTAGGCCTCGCCTGTGTTAGCACAGAGGTGTGGCAGATTATTGAGTATTGCTCAGTTAGACATATTCTTTAATCGGCAGATACCGCAGATCCCAACTAGTAAGAAGGTAACCGCGAGAAAAATTATAAGGTGCGGACCCACATAGATCACTCCAGCTTCGTTGCAGAAATTGCGCAATTAGGGCGCCAATCCTACCGGCCTGCAACCATTCGACACCGTTGCGACGCTCCCCTACTCAGGATTGAGTGTAGAGTATCAGCTTACTCTCTGCCAACGGCGGCGAGCTCTCGTGTCGTTTTGCGCTTCTTATGATAGCACTGTCTCGCCGTGCACATCCGACCCTCAAGGAGGTAGGCAGCAGGGTCAACCGTCACGTTCGAACATTTTCGGGATTTTTGCGACCCCCCCTCTCGAGAGGGTCCAGTTGCGACCCCCCAATACAACCAGCCTTCCCCCACCGCGACCTCTCCCTCTTCTATAGTATTTGATTCTGAGACCAGTTGACACAGCCCAAAACCTACCTAAACTCCGAAACTCCACCCACTTTTCCCAGCAGGATGGAGGGGAGGCTTATACAACCAAAACGTCAACATTTTTTTGCCACCCTATGCATGACCAAACGTAACGCAGCAGAACTGCGGGCCATGCGACCCTCTCCGCTCCCAGAACACGCAATGCGAACCCTCCCCCGTTCGATACAGATCGAACGGACGGTTGACCTTGGTTAGGGGCTTAATTTTGGTGTTTCCAAAGATGCCTCGTACTTTCTTTTCCACTTTCAGGTCGTTCAGCAGCACAGTCATCACTTCGAAACGCTCTTACCAGTTTGACCCCGAGGCTTGGCTTTAGAATCAAAACGAATTCACTCCATACAACTCCCTACAATATACAGCTTACATGGCCTGCAAGTATTTCGTAGTGTCTTCTGCCCCATTCCCTTCCCTAATAAGCCTGTATAAAACTGATAGAAGAACTGTAGACAATTCTAGAAATGGCCTAGAAATCGATTGAATTGAGCTTCAATCTTGGCGGAGAGCTGCGACTTGTTACAAAGTCCATTAGTTTCACAGGAAAACGGAGGTCTTGATTTGTGCCGTGTGCTGATCGTTTTGTTTGGGGAAATCATGAAGACGCTCTCCGCCTGCCAACCGTAAACATCAGCGCCTTGGAGTTGTTCAGAAACACCACAAATCACGCATGCAGGCTAAGTGCTACTGTACTACACCCATATCACAACAAAACAGTGATGTGGCTATTTTTTTAGAGAAAGGCCATGACAGAAAAGAACCATAGCAATAGGAAGATGGTAGGTTATCAGGTACTAGAGTACAGCCGGAGTGACTTCTCTGTCTTTAGAGTTTTGTTCGCTTGCCGGATGACTAGTACAGTGATATAACTGGACCAATAATTCAAATCGCGCTGTGTCAGTCGCAGTTCTGAAACGTAAAGTGAAAAGCAGTGGATAAAGGATAAAGGATAAAGCATTTGCCGTTGATCAATCCCTTTTTGGGATGCGGCACGCATTCTACTTCCATTTGTACATTCGTAGTGGCGTTTGAATGCGATGTGGCCTATACAATGACTTGCGGGGGCCAGCCGATGTTCAAGTCATCTCCCAGACAAGTCTGGTACCAATTAACCGACCCCGGAGGGATGGAAGGCTTGGTTGGCCCGGGCGACTCACGACCCAGGATTTGATCCCCGGACCGCTCGCGTGGTAAGCGTGCCACTTGTCACTACACCACTTCCGCCCCAATGGCATATGTTGAATCAAAGAGTACAAAGGGTTGGCCAGTAGTGCCTAGTTGCACTGTTTAGATACCAGTTAGAGGTGCCCGTTATCAGGATATCCCGTCAGCCAATCCTCGATGGAAGGAGATCGCCTTTAGTGAAAGTGGAAGAGTTTCAAGAGAGCAGACAGGAAGATGGCTCAATTAAAGTAAGGGTTCTTTAAAATGACTTAAAATTATTTAAGGAATTGTCAACGAAAATTAGTGATGTTCATGGATATTGCAAACTAAATACAGAATTTTGCCTCTTTGACAGTGGCATACAAATATTGTATTTATCACCACATCCCATGACGGGTTTTTTAACGGAAAATCAAGGTCAGCTTGAGAAGCAGAGAAGAAGTCTGCCCTTCGACAAACCCAGGATGGAGGTTGGGTAGGTTGGGCAGAACCAATATTCCAATTGTTCATTAATGGAGGGGATGGTAGGATCCACTCTTCCGTGTAGTGGATGCGTGAAGTAAGGACGGGCTTTTAACTTTCCAAAATCAAAATGCCGCTTCCATTATTTGATTATTGCCTGCAATCAATTTTTGCCCTCCCCTCCTCTGCAATAGTCGAATTCGACATAAAAACCCTTGCTTAGGTTTATTGATTAATAATTTTTTGTTGAAGTTTGGAATTTCCGAGAATTCAAGTGAACTCACGTCGATCTCTCTCCCAGAGTTCCACTGTGGCATCAGCGAGTCGCTTCTTGTTGCACACAGTGACTCCTTTCACGGTAACGCTCTGCTTTTTGGCGTCGATCACAGCGATGAGCACCAACGCGAGAAGCACGAAGACAGCTCTCATTCTGGAAAGCCGAACTGATTTCGTAACGACCGGCTCACCATTTATAGCGACTGATGTGACTCAGCAGAATGGTCGGCTGATATTCCTTGAGAGAATGTATGTGTGAAAGGTCTGTGAAAAATCAAAACAGCGTGGGAAGCTTATTCATCTAAGGAATATCATTCTACTGTACAACTTTGATGCGCAAACAGAACAGAATCGATTTTCTCAGATGAACGGAACCATAGAGAAAATTTTCAATAATAGATGTGTAACCAAAAAGGCCCAACTAAATTTTAGGGATGGAAAAACTTCAAATGACGTCTGGTTCTCGATATTTTCCAACCGCTGCAGTAAAGTGATCAAAAAATAATAGAAAATAGCGGGTAAATTATAGCAAATTATACTACGCCATTGACGAATGAGTCAGTATGTATAATAGGACAACACTGATCCGAACAAAAATACACTGAAAGTTAGACTACCGCCAGTCACAACAGCGAAAAGGACCCTATCGCAACGCTGTTTATATGCAAGGGCAAAGCAGAGAACTGGTTTCACAAAGGTCAAGGCGAAGGGCGGAGGCGATTGTCTGCCTATAATAAAGAACTAGATGATGAACGGGGTTGGTTGTCAATAAGCATGAATAAGCAGTACACAATCCTGAGAATAACTTCTAATAACCGAAACAAAGTATCCAATCGAGCCTTTATGGAAACGACCAAGTTTATGAATCCTATTCACTTACTTGAACACACAGCAAGTTAGCAGACATGACCACACGCTCTTACATAATGGGACTCGTCACAAAAGGGAGCCCACTTGAAAATCGCAGCATGTAGGTCAGTCTGTTAGAGCGTGGCGTCTAATAAGCCCAAGGTCGCAGGTTCGACCCCTGCTGGCGGCAAATACTTTTGCGAACCCATCGTTACCCAAAGAATTGATGGAAGAGTCTTGGGGTTCGATCGTGGGAATCGATCCGGAAAACATGGCCATGGCCGCCATAGCTCAGTCGGTTAGAGCGTGGGTCTAATAAGCCCAAGGTCGCAGGTTCGACCCCTGCTGGCGGCAAATACTTTTGCGAACCCATCGTTAACCCAAAGAATTGATGAAGGAGTCTTGGGGGTTCGAAAGAGTCTTGGGGCTCGATCGTGGGAATCGATCCGGAAAACATGGCCATGGCCGCCATAGCTCAGTCGGTTAGAGCGTGGGTCTAATAAGCCCAAGGTCGCAGGTTCGACCCCTGCTGGCGGCAAATACTTTTGCGAACCCATCGTTACCCAAAGAATTGATGGAAGAGTCTTGGGGTTCGATCGTGGGAATCGATCCGGAAAACATGGCCATGGCCGCCATAGCTCAGTCGGTTAGAGCGTGGGTCTAATAAGCCCAAGGTCGCAGGTTCGACCCCTGCTGGCGGCAAATACTTTTGCGAACCCATCGTTACCCAAAGAATTGATGGAAGAGTCTTGGGGTTCGATCGTGGGAATCGATCCGGAAAACATGGCCATGGCCGCCATAGCTCAGTCGGTTAGAGCGTGGGTCTAATAAGCCCAAGGTCGCAGGTTCGACCCCTGCTGGCGGCAAATACTTTTGCGAACCCATCGTTAACCAAAGAATTGATGAAGGAGTCTGGGGGTTCGAAAGAGTCTTGGGGTTCGATCGTGGGAATCGATCCGGAAAACATGGCCATGGCCGCCATAGCTCAGTCGGTTAGAGCGTGGGTCTAATAAGCCCAAGGTCGCAGGTTCGACCCTCCCTGGCGGCGGCCAGTTTTGAGAGCCGACCGGCGCAAATACTTTGCGAAATCGCATCGTTACCTGGGTTGTGTTGTATTACCAAAAGAATTGATGGAAGAGTCTTGGGGTTCGATCGTGGGAATCGATCCGGAAAACATGGCCATGGCCGCCATAGCTCAGTCGGTTAGAGCGTGGGTCTAATAAGCCCAAGGTCGCAGGTTCGACCCCTGCTGGCGGCAAATACTTTTGCGAACCCATCGTTAACCAAAGAATTGATGAAGAGTCTTGGGGTTCGAAAGAGTCTTGGGGCTCGATCGTGGGAATCGATCCGGAAAACATGGCCATGGCCGCCATAGCTCAGTCGGTTAGAGCGTGGGTCTAATAAGCCCAAGGTCGCAGGTTCGACCCCTGCTGGCGGCAAATACTTTTGCGAACCCATCGTTACCCAAAGAATTGATGAAGAGTCTTGGGGTTCGATCGTGGGAATCGATCCGGAAAACATGGCCATGGCCGCCATAGCTCAGTCGGTTAGAGCGTGGGTCTAATAAGCCCAAGGTCGCAGGTTCGACCCCTGCTGGCGGCAAATACTTTTGCGAACCCATCGTTACCCAAAGAATTGATGAAGAGTCTTGGGGTTCGATCGTGGGAATCGATCCGGAAAACATGGCCATGGCCGCCATAGCTCAGTCGGTTAGAGCGTGGGTCTAATAAGCCCAAGGTCGCAGGTTCGACCCCTGCTGGCGGCAAATACTTTTGCGAACCCATCGTTAACCAAAGAATTGATGAAGGAGTCTGGGGGTTCGAAAGAGTCTTGGGGCTCGATCGTGGGAATCGATCCGGAAAACATGGCCATGGCCGCCATAGCTCAGTCGGTTAGAGCGTGGGTCTAATAAGCCCAAGGTCGCAGGTTCGACCCCTGCTGGCGGCAAATACTTTTGCGAACCCATCGTTACCCAAAGAATTGATGAAGAGTCTTGGGGTTCGATCGTGGGAATCGATCCGGAAAACATGGCCATGGCCGCCATAGCTCAGTCGGTTAGAGCGTGGGTCTAATAAGCCCAAGGTCGCAGGTTCGACCCCTGCTGGCGGCAAATACTTTTGCGAACCCATCGTTACCCAAAGAATTGATGGAAGAGTCTTGGGGTTCGATCGTGGGAATCGATCCGGAAAACATGGCCATGGCCGCCATAGCTCAGTCGGTTAGAGCGTGGGTCTAATAAGCCCAAGGTCGCAGGTTCGACCCCTGCTGGCGGCAAATACTTTTGCGAACCCATCGTTAACCAAAGAATTGATGAAGGAGTCTGGGGGTTCGAAGAGTCTTGGGGCTCGATCGTGGGAATCGATCCGGAAAACATGGCCATGGCCGCCATAGCTCAGTCGGTTAGAGCGTGGGTCTAATAAGCCCAAGGTCGCAGGTTCGACCCCTGCTGGCGGCAAATACTTTTGCGAACCCATCGTTACCCAAAGAATTGATGGAAGAGTCTTGGGGTTCGATCGTGGGAATCGATCCGGAAAACATGGCCATGGCCGCCATAGCTCAGTCGGTTAGAGCGTGGGTCTAATAAGCCCAAGGTCGCAGGTTCGACCCCTGCTGGCGGCAAATACTTTTGCGAACCCATCGTTAACCAAAGAATTGATGAAAGAGTCTTGGGGTTCGAAAGAGTCTTGGGGTTCGATCGTGGGAATCGATCCGGAAAACATGGCCATGGCCGCCATAGCTCAGTCGGTTAGAGCGTGGGTCTAATAAGCCCAAGGTCGCAGGTTCGACCCCTGCTGGCGGCAAATACTTTTGCGAACCCATCGTTAACCCAAAGAATTGATGAAGAGTCTTGGGGTTCGATCGTGGGAATCGATCCGGAAAACATGGCCATGGCCGCCATAGCTCAGTCGGTTAGAGCGTGGGTCTAATAAGCCCAAGGTCGCAGGTTCGACCCCTGCTGGCGGCAAATACTTTTGCGAACCCATCGTTACCCAAAGAATTGATGAAGAGTCTTGGGGTTCGATCGTGGGAATCGATCCGGAAAACATGGCCATGGCCGCCATAGCTCAGTCGGTTAGAGCGTGGGTCTAATAAGCCCAAGGTCGCAGGTTCGACCCCTGCTGGCGGCAAATACTTTTGCGAACCCATCGTTACCCAAAGAATTGATGAAGAGTCTTGGGGTTCGATCGTGGGAATCGATCCGGAAAACATGGCCATGGCCGCCATAGCTCAGTCGGTTAGAGCGTGGGTCTAATAAGCCCAAGGTCGCAGGTTCGACCCCTGCTGGCGGCAAATACTTTTGCGAACCCATCGTTACCCAAAGAATTGATGAAGAGTCTTGGGGTTCGATCGTGGGAATCGATCCGGAAAACATGGCCATGGCCGCCATAGCTCAGTCGGTTAGAGCGTGGGTCTAATAAGCCCAAGGTCGCAGGTTCGACCCCTGCTGGCGGCAAATACTTTTGCGAACCCATCGTTAACCAAAGAATTGATGAAGAGTCTTGGGGTTCGAAAGAGTCTCTTGGGGCTCGATCGTGGGAATCGATCCGGAAAACATGGCCATGGCCGCCATAGCTCAGTCGGTTAGAGCGTGGGTCTAATAAGCCCAAGGTCGCAGGTTCGACCCCTGCTGGCGGCAAATACTTTTGCGAACCCATCGTTAACCAAAGAATTGATAGAAGAGTCTTGGGGTTCGAAAGAGTCTTGGGGCTCGATCGTGGGAATCGATCCGGAAAACATGGCCATGGCCGCCATAGCTCAGTCGGTTAGAGCGTGGGTCTAATAAGCCCAAGGTCGCAGGTTCGACCCCTGCTGGCGGCAAATACTTTTGCGAACCCATCGTTAACCCAAAGAATTGATGAAGAGTCTTGGGGTTCGATCGTGGGAATCGATCCGGAAAACATGGCCATGGCCGCCATAGCTCAGTCGGTTAGAGCGTGGGTCTAATAAGCCCAAGGTCGCAGGTTCGACCCCTGCTGGCGGCAAATACTTTTGCGAACCCATCGTTACCCAAAGAATTGATGAAGAGTCTTGGGGTTCGAAAGAGTCTTGGGGCTCGATCGTGGGAATCGATCCGGAAAACATGGCCATGGCCGCCATAGCTCAGTCGGTTAGAGCGTGGGTCTAATAAGCCCAAGGTCGCAGGTTCGACCCCTGCTGGCGGCAAATACTTTTGCGAACCCATCGTTACCCAAAGAATTGATGGAAGAGTCTTGGGGTTCGATCGTGGGAATCGATCCGGAAAACATGGCCATGGCCGCCATAGCTCAGTCGGTTAGAGCGTGGGTCTAATAAGCCCAAGGTCG